AGCAGGCTTTACCCATACTGCAGCATATATGGCATCCCACAGCATCCCCGTGTCCAGCACACACACACAAACAGTTTCCAGTTATAGTCGTGGGCATGCACACTACACTGGGGCCAGATGGCATTTATGAGCAGGACGGAATTTTAGGCAGATACAAAATGGGTTCTGCAGCGTAGCATCTCACCCTTCCCCTTCTTCCCACAGCCCCATGCTGAACAGTCGTGCTGTTGCAATTTTGTCTTAACATTGATTTAGCAGAAGTAAACTATATTTTTAAACCTTCCATCACGCAGTCAAAGTGAAAAACAAAATCAGCACAGTAACAAGTGTCATAACATCTTTTCTGTTACTTAATCAACGTTTTTAAATAAGCTGCACATTTATAGTTGTCTCCTTATATAACTTCAGTATTAATCAGTACTAAACAATGACATCAGCCCTCTGATCACAATTGTATAAACAAGAGTATATTTCATTCCAATTAAAACAAATACAAAATCTTTGAACTGACGAGCAGCACAGAGAGAAACCGTAATGTATATTTCCATACTTGAGCTGTTTACAGTCTTTGTGGCCATGTTTGCTATGATGAAATCATTACACCTTGATGAGGAATTAAAAATTACTGACATAATTTACTGATTGTAGATAACACATGATGAACATGCATCCATTAGAAGCTAAGGCATCTTCGATATTGAAAAATATAAAAAAAAACCTCTTCCTCAGGGACCTTCTATGAGAGTTTTAACAAAGTTTCAGAAAGTCATTCGTAAAAAAAATTTACAAGGACTGCCTCAGAACAAGCATTTTTTCACCAAGTCTCTACAACAGATTTCAATTCTCTTTACAAAAGCAATCACAAAGCAAACCATATAGTATTTAAAAAAAAAAAAGCATACATATATATTAAGCACGTATCTGTATAGCCTCAAGACATAAAGAAAAAATCAAATCTCTGCCAGTGCTATCAGCTGAGTTCACAGAAATACATACCTGCCGATCTGCTTGGTATTTAAAGTTCTCTCAGTAATTCACAAGGCCACCAACTTTGATCATATAAATCCTTTTCTCGGAACTAAGGGCCAGTATGCAGAAAACCTTAAATTGCTAACCTCTGCTTTCCTCCTGGAGAAACTGTGCTCTAAACTCTGCTCAGCTAAATTACAAAAACCCACCTACAGCCAGATTTGCTAATGAAAAGGGGGTGCTTTCTGAACAATAGGAGAATTCCTCTGCATTTAAAATGCAGAGTTCCCATTAGAACAAAGAATCACAAATGCCAGTTTTACCTCTGTTTTTTAATTGAGATTGTCCCAGCCCTCTTCTACGGTCCAGTGAGACAGTGTTTGTGAAATGATTAAAAAGAACGTGATCTGATCAAGAGGATGGAATAATGGGAAAGGAATGCTAGGTTAGCCACAGTGCTAAGTGCTGGGAAAGAAGACCAAGAGGCTTCTTAGCCTATTGTTTTTATTCCCATCTGCTTTTTAGCCATCTCATAACACTTTTGATTCTTTATTTACTCTGGTAAAAATGGGTTAAAAGTTGCACACTTGCCTCTGAATTTGGTAACAAGTTAAAGAAATCTTTTGCAAAAAAAAAAAAAGAAAAAATGGGGGGGRAAAAAAGGAAAAAGAAAATAAATAAAAATCCTTGAATTATATCAAGTTTCCAAAAGGTCATCACTGTCTCTGCTGTGGCCTTTTCCCCATACCAAATCCTCTATCAATATGTCATAGTGAGTTAGGCAAAGACAAAAGAGAGGCTCAGTGTGAAAACTGCACATATATCTAATCCTGACAAAGCAATGAATAGGCCTTCACAAGTATAATTATACTTGTTTATTTGTTGCCACGTACAGAGGACTGATGAAAAAATCCATCAAAGTGGTATTATGCAGACACCAAGAGCTTCTTTTCTTTGGTTGCTAAAGCCACATTGAGGCTTAAATTCCTTATTGTTAAATTCAGAAGAAAGAAGGAAAAAAAAAAGATTTTGGTTGGACTTYTTTGCATCAATTGCTGACAGATCCTTTGTGTATAGCGCTGTATTATTAGATGCATTAGCTAGAAACTTGCTCACACTGCTTCTCGTTTTAGCCCATGCTGCAATCCATAATTATAAACTACTGTACACAGTACCTTTTAACAGGGTGTGGTAGGCACTTAGCTGACCACGASTTGAACAGATTTTAAATTGCCCATTTTCCCACAATCACTTGCTTGAAATACCCAAATACAGGTAAGGTACCTGTCCTATAATTACTACGGATTTTTTTTTTTCCCCTGAAGCTTAAAGCTGCAAGGAAAGAGAAGGTGGGTCAGTGTAATGCAGAGGTGTCTTTCATTTCAGCCTGTTCAGTGCAGAAGATACACAGTAGTTTATCTTCCTGCACTGAAAGCCATCTAGACATTTATCAGAAACTTAGGCCCAAGTGCAGTAGTGAAAAACAAACACACCAGTCCCTTTCTCCCCAAGCAAACAAAAAACATTCTAA